ACTTCATAACATTTTCAACAGCAGAAACATTTGACAGTGCTGCTCAAGAGTCTACAGCAAATGCCAATTAAAGGTTAAATATATATTTTATTATAGTAACGGATATGGGATAGATTTTACAATATATACGTGACTCCAAAAACAGTAACACAAATCAGACTATACTATAGAAAAGTATGGAATTGATCTACTTCAGGAAAGTAGGAAACTGTTCAAAATGAGACAGAATAACATCTTTCAATGCCGACTTGACGACAGCTATGACGACACAAACAAAAAGGTTTGTTCTCAAGCTCAAACATTGCCATGTTTATGACATTCTCTTTCTGGCCATTAAATATTCATGCCCCCTGGGCTAATGTCAGGAAAGATCTTTACAGCAGACTAGCAGTCATTTTCCAAGAGAGTGAGTTGGAAGCAGAGTCAGAGTAACTTATAGAAGTTGACTTTGTTTGCAGTATCAAACCATCAAATTATCTTCAAAGAAACGATTTAATTTAGAAGATCTGCTGGTATTTACTCAACAAGAATACTTCACATGGCTCTATCTTTGATTCAATAGACTTTGGTTGAATCTCACTCAAAATACAGCATTACAAAAGCTCAGTGCTCACAATGTTGGTATTGAAAACACACAATATCTCTTCTTTTTGATTAGTAAGTACAATACTAGTAAACCTCTCACTGCCTCAGTTTTGAATACGTGTTGGCTTTCTGAAACGTGTTGGAATCATTGCATCATGGACAAAAGCTCTGTGTGTGAACTGCATAAACCTGAATGCTGTCATGTTACGGTCAGTGGAAGCACATGTGGTGATGAATGAGCTACATTTTTGTAATTAATACAGAGATTAATACTGTTTTTGATCTTTGCAGGCACAACAACATATTATGCTGTTTGGAAAAGTTTGCCGCAGAATCAAGACCGGGAGAGGATATTAAAGCTGAAGTGAAATGAGAGGATGTTTGCTTGAGTAAATGTCTGCTTCCTCACTCCATCCAATCTAGCATCATGCTTTAACCTTAACCCGCTACTCATTGCCGTCTGTTTGAACGCCCACGTTGGTCAACATGGATAAATTATTCTGTCAAAACTCCACTGCTGCTGTGGGCTGCAGTCAAATAGGATGAAAGACAGTTTCTAAAAGCAGGAGAAGGAGAAGTGGAACTGTTAAATCTTTCACTATTTTTAGACATTTCTCCACCAATTTAATCTTCTCCAGGGTCATGATGAGCTGGATCCTATCACAGCATGAATTAAGTCAGAGGAGAAGGAAGTAGCCTGGAAAGTTTCCACTGTCAGTGGGCTAACACAGAGAGACAGTAGCACACATTCAAAGCAACATTTCACACTCTCTGGTGCATCTAACTTAATCGAAAAAGCAAACATAAGAAGCCCACACAATAAAACCAACAAACAACAGAATAAGTCACCTCCCTTCCGATACTTTCCTGTACTATCTTGATCTCTCTAATTGTCCTTATCTTTAGGTGAATTAACTGCGCTGCAAGTGCCTCTTAATCACCTATTAAGACATTTTATTTTGGCATTTCAACACAATTATTTCCATAAATTCACTCTGGGATGGTTTCATAAAAGAAATAATTAGCTAATCGATAGCTATTTTTGGCTGGAGAAGTTGTTGTGATAAGGCATGTTATATTTCCACAGTGGCGATTGTGGTGGAAATTCCACACTTAATCACCTCGTTTTGTTACATGCAGAGTATATGAGTGGACTTATACATCAGCATGGCAAAACGTACGGTGCAAGGACAGGTTTGAGTGCAAATGTTATAAGATGGCCAATTGATAAAACTATTTTTACATAGACAAAGATTTTATAGGTACTGTAGTTTTAGTCCATTTCATTTAATTAATGGGTATTTACAATGAATTTAAATTAAATTAAATAAACACAAATGTGATTTAAAATGTTACTGTAAACAGAAAACAGAGAATATAGAAAATAATTAGTGATTAGTGATTATTGATATATTTCCACTAAGAAAAAGAAAATGTTTCCTTGCAATGGAAATGTTGTGCATGTAACTATTACTGTTTTCTATGTTCACGTCTAGTTCATTTTATTTGAGTATCCCAAAATTAAAAAAACACCTTACTGGGTTTGTAATTGTTACTAACAACGCAAACATGAAAGTGGGGACTGTTGGTTTACCTACATACCTATGGGGCCAAAATCTTGAAAGCTAACCATCATCAAACTACTTCTGAGCAAGGGTTCAGCCCCCCCCCCCCACTGTTTAAATACAAAAATAGAAACATGTTGTACTGGAACGATTTGGTGAGTAACTGGAGCAAAAGAGTGAGAAGAACAAGTGGACACTTTCCGGTAAAAAGAAAATTGTGTTTAGAATTGCCAGCATCATGTAATTTCCAGCCATTAGAGAGGAACACCATAAACACTCTGTATTGACCGGTGTCTCCTTTGTTGCAACATAATTGCTTGTTCTCGCTGTTGATATTTTCTTGAATACCAACAGACACAATACATCTAACGTGTTTACAGCATAACTCTTTTTCCATACTCTATTGATTTCACACTTCTTCAGTAAAAACACTGTAGCAATTTTGAAAGTGTATTCGAACTGCAAAAGACACCCCAGGCTCATCATCCGTCATAACCAATTTGAAGTGGATTGAGCCACAAAGAAAGCAGCAGCCAATGTTAGTGCCGGAGAGAATCTCATCAGGGATGCAGGTCATGGCTCACAAAAACCCTTTGTTCAAGAGCGCCAAGCAACTTCTGTCTTCTCCTCCTGTCAAAGACACTTCTGGAGTTGAAGTATTCCCTGTTCAAACTATTTCACTGGGAAACTCTCCAACAGTACTGTGCTTCACTGCCCAGCCCATCACCTCTCCCCAACCTACTGCTGCTCTGACAGGGCCTGGAGACACCGCTACACCTCCGCTCTGCAGTGAACACCACCTGTGCTCATACACACCTGATGTGCACAAAGAAGGCTATCCTGGCTCCAACAATGGTGGAACAAGCAACAACCCATTGATGTCAGTACAGCGGAGAATCTAAATATCCTGTTGCATACTGAAAACACACCAAGAAAACTGCATTACTAGAGGGTTTTGGCACATTTTAATATGCACCAGAATTTTAAAATAGTTTGGCTTACAAATGTTCAGGGTCTATCTTGCTGTTTCTGAACTTGTATCTTCTTGGTTTATAGCACTTTTGTAAATCGCCTTGAATAAAAGCATCAGCTAAATGAAATGTATCGTTGTTAATGATAATCTGAACACCTGACCCCCCCGCCCTGTGTCTAAACTAAATATGTGCTCCTAACCTGACAGCGCTTTGCATCCTGCTGTCTCATTTGCTGCCTTTGAACCGTCTAAACAAAGACTAAAAAAAGAACAGATCTGTCTTCTTTCCTTAGAGAAGGGGAAACATTGATTGGCATACAAAAGTTAAAAGGCTTCCCACCAGGGCAGAGGTGACTCCTGCAGTCAAGGACATTCTCTTTCTGCAGGAGCACATCCTCTAGGGAAAGGTCTGGATGGCAATCAAAGTATTGAAGACATGGCTCCAGTCAAGAGCTCTTTAGGTGACGAATGTTCCAGGATGCGTTATAGAAAAGATAAAATATGCCAATCAAGAAGGTTGTCAGTAAATGAAATACATCATTTGAAAAAGGCAATTTCTAAACTAATGATGAATGTTTTTAAGACTTTAGGAGTCCATGCATTGGTTTGTAGTGTGGCATGTCATCCTTAGGAAAGATAAACGGCACTGATGTTTGACTGCTAGTATTTTCTGTCCCAATACTGTCAAAGCCACTTCTTCAAATGCTGCAGACAATCTTCTTGAACAACTGTGAACTGGTATACAGGATGAATGTCAAACCACATAGCCTGAAGCACTTTTTACTTCATTAGTATTTTCAGGCTTACTTCAAAAACAGCAAAGTGTCTGAAGGTTTATTTGCAGGCAAAAATGTGCCAGGTCTCATATAAATCCTGACTGAAGTAAACAGCTTGAAAACAAAAGGCTGAATATAAAGCTGTGCATCTTACTCCTCCACAAACTGTGAACTCCATCAGTATGCAGAATGAACACTTCATCGCTTTAGCCGGAGAAAAACAGCAACAAACCACAGAAAGCTACGTTTTCTATTTATGTACGTACAGGCATCTTTTTGATTCCTATAAACCAGAACATTTTAACAACATACTATACTATAGCTCTTATATGGCATGATAAGCTACTATATGACTTTTAAGAACATGTCTATGACATTATACTGTGTCATTTTTCAGGACATAATTAACTGTGATGCTACAAACAAGATTAGTGTTATGAATGTCAGACTTTACTATGACACATTTTAAGACATGCCATAGGCCTACTATGACTTTGTATTACATTCTAATCTACGACATACCATACTATCATTTTGATGACTAAACTATGATGGCTTTAAGAACATTCCATACTATGACACTATTCTTTTTTTATAGTATTCTAAACCATGAATTTTTCTTGTTACAAACTATACTATGCTATTTAGGCATTTAGGTATTTTATATTTATTATTTATATTGGTCGTATTTCTTTGTAAATTGGCTGCTTGGAAATGTTTTATGGTAATGTTGGTGAACTCGACCTTTAGATTCACTTTGCACTAAGTTGTTCACAACAAAAAAGAATGCTTTCGACATAAAAGTAAATATGCTATTATGCCTGATGCTATAACGGTATCCAATCCGCTTGCGCGCGCTCACTCTCTCCCTATCTCTCCCTATCTCTCCGTCTTTGCGCGTGCACCAAGGCACAAAAACGCAGCGGCAGCTCTGCTCTCGTGCCTCTTTCTCTTATTTTCTTGTGAATACCGACAGCTGCAACTTTTGTCAGCAGACAGCTGCCGGTGGTTCCTCCTCTCTCTCTCTCACACACACATACACAACAAGCTGGACACATTAAAAGTCGAGAGCGCGGCAGCTGGATGATGTCATATCCGTGAAGAAGAGTCCCTAAACGCAGCGCGGATTTTCTCTGCATGCATTCCTACAAACTTTTCTCCTCTCGTGCAGTGACGACGTTGCACCCCGCTGCCCACATGGCATGCGTAACGGGGACGAGTGTATGGCTTTGCCCCCCTCCTCCTCCGCAGGAAGTCGTGGTTTTCACCAGCGCCTAGTGGACGAGGTGGCGCGAGCCCACGGGAAGAAACTTGCGTGAAAATTGTTGTGAGCGTCGCGGAGGAGGAGGAGGAGGCGGAGGGAAACATACCGTCAGGATGAGGTCTCTGTCCGTGGTCCTGAACCCGTTGCTGTTCCTGCTGCTGTTCGGATACTGCCCGTCAGCGGTGAGTTCGCTGCCCGAACATTTATCTAAAAAAAAAAGAACAGAAAAAACTCAAACCTGTCCTTGCTTTAAACTCCACTTGATTTGGAATGTTTCAATAAGGGTGGAGCATTGCACAATGGTTGGTGAGTGACCAACAGAGAGAATGAGTCATTTCAGGTTGTTTTGCATGTTTGGCTGGTTCTTTGCTATAGTCACTGTACACAATCCAGCTTTGGCACTCAAAACAAATGGAGGAAATGTTATGGGGGGAAAATTCTCGCAAACAATAGAGACTGAATTTAAAGTGGATATAGAAGAAGAGTCATCCTCACAGCACTCATGTTTATTGCCTAAATCAACCACATAGTGCTGATATTGATCCTGGAGCATTGCCAGGCATATAAGTCACTTCTAAGGGAGAGTTCAATCATTGTAAATAAATATATAAATAAACCATATTGCTGCTGTGAATTACATCCAAATCCCCTCCCAGAAAGAAGCTGCACGAAACATCTTGGCTGCACTGATTCAACTAAAAATGATTCATGAATATCTGTTGCCATTTTCCTCATCATGCAACCAGATATTTGTTTTTAAAATGTGATACTTGTAGGGACATGTATCCTGCTAGTTGAAGCTTTGTGGAATTGGAGAATTATCACAAATGAGGAGGCGCAGCTTGCAGATCACCAAGCTCCAGAAAAGTGGTCGATTAGGTTCACCCCGCCCATGCCGAGTACAGTCCCTGTGTAAGTGTCTTGATTGCAGAGCAGTGTCCTAACAGACTGTATCACCTTGCCATGATTGAAAGTCGTGTGCAGAATTAATGTTTCTCGTTTCTTCATAAAAACGGGGACGTTTACAGGGCACTCAAAGCTGAATAGAGATCTGTTAGAAAGTCAAAATGAATGGCAAAAGCAAAAGAGGAACCAGCTGTCTGAATTACTTAATTACAGAACAACTCTTTGTGTAGAGTTAGAGAGTGCATCTGGCTTGGCTGAGTGACAGATTCATTTTAATATGGGGGAATGTGAGAGTGAGAAAAGGGTGTAAGGATGTGCGTCACTCAAGAGACAGAGCAGAAAGACCGTCTTTAGCAGAATAGTGAAACTGGATTCTTTTTGAGGAGCCGTTCAAAGCAAAGTCAGGATAATAAAGAGCTAGAAAAAAGTTTGTTCTCCTTTATTCAGTTTATCTATAATGCTGTGAAAGAGATGCAGATTCCAGCTACAGACATGGTGCACCAAGCCATTTGGTTTCTCCTATACTTACAATGTATATGCATTATATATTCCCATGCGATTTGCAGAGTAGTTTGACTCATCATGATATTGGGCATTATAACTCGATGGTGGCATTTCATTCATTTTTTTTTGTTAGACTATGACACTATGTTATTCTACTCTCATGGCTTCAATCAAAAAATCTTATAAGGACCAAGCGAGCATCAGGGCATCAGGAGAATACGTTTTAATTCCTAGATCACAAACTTTACCAGCAACCAATAGCATTGATGACAGAGATCAGGCCTGCCGTGCTCTGAGAATACCTAAAACAATTTTCTTACAATCTGATAATGGCAACGTAAGAGAGCTGGGAGAAGGATGGAAAGCTCCAGAGATTGATAGTGCAGAACATCTTTTTTAAAACACATTTTTGACTTTAAGATAAGAAAGTGAAAAGAAGATGTGGCAGATGAGTCAGGTGTTAAAAAGACAGCACTATTCTGCATTGTAAAATTCAAAATTGTATCAGCTATTTCTTTCTTCAAACACAGGACTTTCCTATGGCAGTGATACTACTATAAAAAACAGTCTCATTTAAGCAAAATTGAAAAATCAAACTGAGCTTGTTCCCTGGTGAGATGTCTTTGCCTGCTCTGAGGGGCTAGGATCTTTCCTGGCGGATTTCAAACACTCTTTAAACTATTCTGGCAAACAGATTAGATGAATGGGAAAGGGATGCCTGCACTTTGAAAACAGGGCACTCTTTTTTCTATCCACAAGTTTCAAAGCCTGGATGATGCCAAAGTTCACATTTCTCATGTTATTCTGCGGCCAGATTTGGTTTTAGGATGCAAAACAAAATCCAAATAATGGTTGGTGGTCTGCCAAAGAAGCTGGTAGTGCCGACAATTTACAGTCCAAGTCAAAGGTTGCCAGTATTTGGCTGGAGGCTTGTGATAATTTCCCTTGCTGAAAATAAACAGTATTTTTCAAATACTGATGCTGTTTGAGTGTTAGACAGCATTCAACTTTTCCAGAAACTTTGATCAATATTTACTGTGTACACATTGGTGATGCTGCATGAACATATGCTGCATTGACCTACAATACACAACTTTCATTCTTCAAACTGTATACTCTGGTGCTATGGAGCATATTGAATGTAACTAGATAATGCAGTTCCTGAAGAAATTGCTAGTGGGAATGCTTTATGCTGAAAAGCTGACGCTGAATTGCTATGCTGAAATGTAATGTGTAAGAAGAAAGTGAAGAATTTAGATACTTAGATGAAATGATACATGAACACTGGGGGCTTGAATGTGTGATGAGAGAAGAAAAGAAAGTAAAAAGGCTTGGAAAAGCAGCAGAATATTTGAACTGCAAACTTTTGAACTAACTTGATGGCGAATGATCTGTCGCCATGGCAACGGCATTTGATGACACCCCATAATACGCTTAGATGCGTTGATGGCTGCATCGTTACCAAACCTGTGAAGTTTTGGGCCATTTCGAGCATTTGAACTGAAGTTGTGAGAAAACCGTGTTTCATAGTGAGCATTGTGTTGCCAAGGCAACGGCATTTGAAGAAATCTTAAAACTGTCAAATAGATGTCTTCACGGCCGTACTGTTAGCACACATGTGAAGTTTGAGCACTTTTTGACCATTTTCATAGGAGTTATAGCAATATCGTGTTTTACAGCGAGGGATGCGTTGCCATGGCAACAGCTTTTGAGGAAAACTCACTAATGGCACATAGACGTGTTGAAGGCTGGACCATTAACCATTATCTGAAGTCTGCTGCTCTGAGCATGTCAGTTGGAGTTATGACATCATCGTGTTCCATGACACAGGTGTTTATATTTGAGCTAACGACGTGTCCAGAGATCAAAGGTTTCCATGGTGATGTGCAAGTAATCTGTGAGAGGAGAGCATTTCCATTGTTCTGAATGAGAGATAAACCTCTTACATGTGAACGTTTTGTTGAAGAACCGTAACAGATATCGGTGAAATTTCAACGCGTGAAGCATGTCAAAGAACTTGAGCATGCTGTACTTTTTGTGTACTTTCGGGTTAATAATGTGGCCTTTTTGGCAGATTAACTAAAGGTGTGCGGCTAATGCTGTGGGTAAAGATCAGCTTGAATTTACAATTGGCTTTAATGGAGACAGGTTGAAAGTTTTTGTCACTTCATGCCCTCAAGAGGCATTTTGTTTAATTATTTTGCTTAATTTTAGCTATGAGATGTTTTCCTACGTTTGTCATGACAAATTATGTCTCAGGAGTGTAGGGTTTGGGAATTATGGTAGGTTTAAAAAGAAATATGAAGGCGAATTTCAAGCTATCCTCCACTCTAGCTTTGAGATCACACACCTTAACGAGCTGCTCAATACACACTAATGTTAAAATCTGAAGAAGGCCTCTTTACCAAGGTCTGAACAATGTTTAATATTTCTAAAAGTAGGAATCAGATTTAAAAGTTGTTTAACACGAATAATGTCAGAAAGATGTGTAACATTTTAAAGTTGGAATGAGATTTTTGAGTGAAAGTATGAAGGAACAGTTAGCAGTTGAAGTTGCATGAAGATTGTTCAAGTCTGAAGAGTTTCTCCATTGACTTCCATGTTAAAAATGTGATGAATTATGGGAAGTATCTCTGGAATTATGAAAGTTATGAATGAGAAAAGTAATAGCCATCGATTCCCGACCGAGCTGAACGTTTTGATGTTTGAACGGAGTTTCTGCGATGTGGAATGTGGGAGAAGAAGAGGTGCAAAATAACCCGGCGGAATAATAAAGAATTTTGTGCGTAGCATAACAGTGGGAATGCTGTATCAGCATTCCCACTAAATAACGAGTGGGAAAAGCTCCCACAAATCAGGTTTATCTGCGATTCCCAGCAGGACTTTCATTTAAGGCCTAGAGAGAAGAAACAGAGGAATTTCCGCACTTGGGTTATTCATCAAGGCCAGGAAACACTATTTATTGTTGAAGAGTAATTCACTGGAGACCATATAGTGTGGAGGAATACATTAGAAGAAAAAGCAATGTATTCTTTTAAAGCCCACACTTTTTTATAAGTCAGTGGAATTGGCTGTTTTTAAAGGTCTGGGAACAGAAGGGAGACAAATGGGTGACCCATGAGAAAAAAAAATAGGAAAACATCTGTGTGCTGCAATTTAATGATAGTGATATCATCTGCACTAGTGTGTGTGCTATTAGGTGTGTGTGTTTACGCCTGTGTTTCTGTATGCAGACCATCAGGCCGAAGGAGGGGTGGCAGGTGTACAGCTCCGCTCAAGATGCAGATGGCCGTTGTATCTGCACAGTGGTGGCACCTGAACAGAACCTGTGCTCCAGAGATGCCAAAGGAAGACAGCTCCGCCAGCTACTAGAGAAGGTACACACACACACACACACAGACACACAGACACACACACACACACTTCTGCTTACACTGCAACACAGAAGGCTTCTCAATTCTCTAATTTCCCCTCCTCGACTCCTATCCTCGTGTCTTAGTCCCGCCCACAGGAGATGCGAGCGGAGGAGTCGAGGAGGGGAACCGAGGAGAGAGGAGGGGAAGCAGCAGGCGTTTAGAGAAATGAGAAATCCTCTCCTCTGAGCGGTCATTTTAAAGAGACGTCCGTTAACGATGACAGGAGGCACAGCAGCACTCTGATGGACAGATGTGTTCATGATGACTTATATATTTACTTTTTATTCATTGGCAGTGCGGTATAATGAGACAATAACAGGCTACAGATGCGGACATATACACACACATATATTTATATAAATATACAATTTCAGAATCAAACAAGTATGAGAGCACTCTCATAATAACGTAACACAATCAGAGACTGGATATACCCCCCCCGTCTCCCTTGAAATTACGGGCCAAAAGTTGTATTTAAAAGTATTAAAAATAAGCATAGCACACCAAACCAACACCGGACCTGTCTGTCCGCCGCATCTATGCACTGTACAACATGCACCTACACACTGTACCACACACACACCTACACACTGTACCACACACACCTACAGCTCCTAAAGCATATAATCAGGCTACAGCCGTTGTGTAGTTTATTATGTGAAGCACTAAATGGTCTTAGAAAAATATCGACTCGTAGATATCTACTAATCTACAGCATGCAAATAAAGAGAGTAATGTTGTAAGCCTGTTATACTGAGTGATATATATTATACACACACTGCTCTGCTTTCTGCACGGACCTCACAGCTGTTCTCACTGTAAACATTGCGTCGCCGTTCAAGCAGTTACTAAAATAATATCCAGGGGATGCATGCAGAGCTGTCATTGGCTGAGATAAGTCCGGCCGTGCGTCACGCCTACACCGTTCCCGGAAATGCATCCGCGGAGGAGCCGTGGAGGACCCATCAGTGTATCCTCTATTATAGCTCCTCCAGAGAGCCTCCTCGATGCTCGATGCTCGGGGCTCGATGTGCATTTAGAGAAATTAGATGTCCTTCAACATGGCGCACTGAAATCCATTTCCGGGTCACTACCGGAGGACCGAGGGGTCGAGGAGGGGAAATTAGAGAATTGAGAAGCCTTCACAGACTCTGGAAACCCACACTTTTACTGTAAGCAACCATCACATCACCTACTCTCTCAGAGACATATCACGTTGTTTTCCATCTTTATTCATGCTTCTTTGTTGCTATAATCCCTTTGAGAGATTGCACCAGCCAGGTTCATAACCCTGTTTTCCACTTCTGAATATATTACATGGACGAAATCAGCTGGCTGAATGGATGCTTGAGAACATAAGAATGCTCTCCATCCCACCTCAACAGAATTGGAGGGTCCCTGTTTTTTCAAGTCATTCAAGGCTATTTCTGATGTTTTCTAGTATTATCAGGATTTAAGCGTTTAATTGTTTCTCTCAGTGGCCTCATAAGAAAATCAGCTTTTAAAGAGTGTTTTTTCTTCTTACATCTACCATCATGAATTTAAATGTGAATATATATTTTCCCCATGACAGTAGTGATCTATCTACAAACAGCAGAGGGGTCACTTTCGTCAGTCAGCATCCCATATAACACGGCTAGCCTACATTTTAACGCTGTACGCTAAAGGTTGCTCTCTGTCATTCACTGGGAAACTAATGTACTAAGCTGCCCAAGGGCTTCAGTCGGGCCATTCCAGGACCCATCTACCAGAGCCAGAGCCGTGTGCAGGACACAAAGTGTGAGTGTTGTGCCACTTTGCTAGTGACATGCTCCAATGATGTTGGCTGGTTAGAAATAGAGTCAAAGAGAGAAGAGAGAAAGGACTACATTTCTTCTTGTTCACATGCCCCATAAACCTAGTAGGCTTTTGTCAAACTAGAGAAAGAAACTGTGATGTTGTGTGTAAAACATCTCGTATGATACCTAGTAGATTTAATCATTTACCATTGTAATGACATATATAGTTAAAAACCGAGAGAACACAGAGCAAGAAGGGAGCTGTGTAACAGTTCTGTGTCCATTTAAAATCCATTCAGTGCTCTATTCAGCTCACACATGGATGGTTAAAAGACAATCTTGTTGGAGGTCAAAATGTTGATTTGTTCCGTGGGAAGTTAGAGCCTGGCAGAGCACTGAGTGGCTGAACATGGAGGACATTTTAATCTGGTGCTGGACGGGGGAAAAAATCAATGATGTTTCATTCTTTTCAAAAGGTGCAGAACATGTCGCAGTCAATCGAGGTGCTGAACCTGCGCACGCAGAGGGACTTTCAGTACATCATGAGGATGGAGAGCCAGATCAAAGGGCTGCGGTCAAAGTTTCGACAGATCGAATCTGACAGGAAGACGCTTGTCAACAAAAACTTTCAGGTTTTCCTTGTTTGATATTAAACTTTGTGAGAAACATCACAGGACGGAATGTGGAAGGATCCCCTCTAAAGAAACCTGAGAAGCTTCTGAATAAACCTTTACCTGACTAGATTGATGTCTTAAAATCGAATCAGACCGTGAAGGAAGCATTCAGCATGGATTATTTCATTCTTTTCATTTTCCATTTAACTATTAAATAGTTTTTATTTTTCGTAGCAGTGATTAAACTGCTTAAAATATGAATATTAAAATACTTTTATTTTATTAGTCGAGTGTGTTTTTTAATTACGTAAACTTAACGGCTACATTATGCTATTCAGATTCAGTTTATCAATGCAGTTATTGAAGTTAAACAAAACAAATTATGCATTATTGAATTAAGTTTTTTGAAAGCAATTACTCAAATTAGGCAATACTTAAAAAAATATATATATTTCCCATTGACAGGCAATACATCAAATGTTGAATCTGACAAGTTATATGAACCTGCATATTTTTATGCAAATATAAGCTACAATTAGTCTTCTACTTTTTTATGTGCCATAAAACTAATTTACAGTTTCCTATTAATATTATTTGCTGTGATATTCAATAGGAATTGTCTACATTTTGCATAACAAAAGAGGGCGACTTTTGATTATATTTATCAAGTATTTTCTCACTAATATAACCAGATCCAGTTATAGCATCACAATATATTTGGAATAAATCTGCCCGTAGAGTCTTTGAGTCAAATTTCTTCAACAACTGAAAAAAGGGAATATAATAGAGACAATATGCTTCAGTTTTTTTTCTCGGCTTTAGAGATTTGTTTTTTGCAGCGGTGTATTTTTGTTGTTTTTTAGGAGCTGAAGGGGAAGATGGAGTCCCTGCAGCCGCTGATTCCAGTCCTGGAGCAGTACAAGACCGACGCCAGGCTCATCATCCAGTTCAAAGAGGAGATCCGGAACCTGTCTGCCGTGCTGATGGGCATCCAGGAAGAGATGGGAGCCTACGACTATGAGGAGCTGCAGCAGAGGGTCCTAAACCTGGAAAATCGGCTCCGCAACTGCATGAGCAAACTCAGTAAGTCCATCACAGAAAAATGGAGACTCACGCATGGTGACCACAGATTATCCAATGGTTAAGCTGTTAAGCCCCATGGGGCTTTTTTTTCAGAAAACTGAGTCTCAGGGCTTCTTAACATTCAACCTATTAATGTGTCATACCCACTTAACGGGAAGAAACTCAGCTAACTGACGATATGAACAATTTTTACCAAAACAAAACACAACTATAACGCCAAGCGTCTGAATTGGCACTAAGTAAGAGAAAAATTATTGAGAAAGCAGTCGCAAAACAGTTGTGTGATTACTTAAAAAACAATGAGTTATTTGAAGATTTTCAGTCTGGCTTTAGAACACATCATAGCACAGAGACAGCTCTGGTTAAAGTCACAAATGACCTTCTCATACCTCAGACAAAGGACTTGTCTCTATTCTTGTCTTGCTCGATCTCAGTGCTGCATTTGACACGATCGACCATAAAGTCCTATTGCAAAGACTAGAGCACTTAGTAGGCATAAAGGGAACTGCTTTAGGCTGGTTTAGGTCATATCTATCTGAACGGTCTCAGTTTGTGTGTGTCAACGATGAATCTTCCATGCAAACCAAAGTGAGCCATGGAGTACCGCAGGGCTCAGTGCTTGGACCTATTTTGTTCACATTATATATGCTTCCGTTAGGCAATATTATAAGGAATCATTCTGTACTTATTATATGTTATAGTTTGGATTCCTAAAGCTTTTAGTCTACTATCCCATCATTCAAGGGTGGTTTTCACTATAAGTAAACTTTGGACGGAAACTATAATTTTATAATGTTTTTTACTATGTTTAATCTGAATTTACTTTAAAATAAAACATCTATATTGATTCTGACTTTTCTGCATCCAACTCACAGGTTTATCATTGCTTTGAGAAAAAAGATTATTAATGTACCCCTTTTAGAAGTGAAGATATAGTCATTTGTTCTGGGAATGTCATTTTCGAGCCTGAGACCTGAAAAACAGGCTTGGGGCTTAACAGATCATAGGAGCATTTATTGCAACTTGGCATGTTTGATACAGAGCATGGGAGAGCTGTCTACGACACGACGATACGATAATACTTTAATGGTCAGATATAGTCTGAAATTTGACTTGCATCACAGCAGCTCCATGTGCGACATCCACATAGACAAATATCGAGACACAATGAATGAAAAACCAACAACAAACATTTAACATAACAGCACAATCACTGAGAGAAAACATGCTCAAAGACCATTTAGCGTGCATTTGATCTGGGATTTAGCTCTGTATTTACTGTGAGGATTGACTGATGCACAAAGGAGTGCTTCTCCTGTTGAGAAGAAATCATATGAAAAAAAATGTAAGCTAAAAGTAAAAGGAGGTTGCAGGAAGAAGCTTTATAGGCTTACTCTGGCTACTAATGAAAACACATTTTTTTAGACGTATTCTTTTGAATCCTTCTAGTTCCTTCCTTGCCTATTCCCAGTTTGTCACTGAAAAGCTATGATACTTTTTCCTTCAAGGGTGGATGTTTAACTCATGTAATGAGATCAATTCTGCCTCGAGAGCAGCTTTGCCTCTCATACATTTCTGCATAACTAAACTCCCAATTTGCCAACTGCCATGTCATCAACACTGATGGGACCCGTCAAAGTGTCAACATGAAAAGCTAACATGTGAATGCTAATGGGATGTGGCTGGAAATCTGCCTGAGTTCAAGATGATCACTTAAGCATTCATTGTGCTTTGATTGAGTAGGTAAAAAAGCAGTTAAATACTTAATAGGGAAGTGGCAATCTTGCGTGCAAGTGATAGCCTGTTAAAGCACAATTAAAGTGTCTGGCAAGATTAATTTAGTGCAGCTAATTTAAATATTAAAACGTGTGGGATAACAGCTCTGACACATAGGAAGAGGAGTTGTTATACAGTGTAAGTGTCTCAGGTTGTCATCCAAATTTCTATAAAAGCAGAGAAAAGTATGTAAGCACAAGAAAGGCGCGTCCCATACTCATCTGTTTATCCGTTAGCCACAGATTGCAGCAATCCAAAGCCTTGGGATTTGTTCCAATAGTAGCATCATAACACTGGCTGTAGTTGTAATCATGTGGAGCTGGTGCAGTGTGTAACCAAAGCTGTGTGATGTGTTCGCAGCATGTGGCAAGCTAATGAAGATCACTGGGCCGCAGACTGTGAAGACTTCAGGGACCAGATTTGGAGCCTGGATGACCGACCCGCAGGCGTCTCCCAAAAACAACAGGGTGAGCCGAGCTAATGGTCTGCTGTGTGTTGTTAGCTTTTGAAGCAACACAGGGCGGTTTAAAATGTACATGGAACTGCTACCCTCCTGTTGTCCAGTGGCAGAGATGTAGTAGACTTACAATATCATTCTCACTGAAACTTTTTGATGCCGCTGAGATCAAACATAAAACTTGATGTGGCTTGCAGAACATTGTGACATTCTTTTAAATTAATGTGTGATCAACTTTTGTTTTCTACTGCGATTTGGCACAGGGCCTTCATATCACAGCGTTTAAAGAGGAAAATAACTGCTTTTAAATACACCACATGGTTGAGGATTTGTCAATTATCCAAAAAGCAGTAGACACATTAATGGCCAGCTAGCAATGCTGCACCTTCTTCAGAGAAATACACAATAAACTAGTACTTAAAACAACCACGCAAACAGTCACACAATAGAGTCAGAGAAATAATAAGAGGAGGAACACTGTGGAGCTTTCATACAAAGAAACAACTTCTGTTCGGTGTTAGTTGCCAACATGTGTGTATCCTTGAGGCTTAACCTAACATGTCAAAGCACTTTTCTCTTCATATGCATTTGCAAAGCAAATAATAAGTGCTAACCCAGCTAGAAATGTTTGGTTCTAAAAACATTCTGAGAATGTTACCATTCACTGTTCTAGGAATGTTTTATTTTGGTTCCCAGAATGTTCTTCTGAAAGGTAGGATAACGTTCTCTAAAAACATTCTTAAAATGTTTGGTTATAACTTTAAGATGTTTTTGATAACCTTAAGATGTTTTTGATAACATTGTTCGAACATTATGCCCTACTAGAAAACTGGGTGGGACTTTCGGCAACAGTTCTAAATTCGTTTGAGTCCTACTTAAAGGACAGAAAAAACTGTATTTCTATAGGTAAATACACATCTGAGTTGACAAATATGACATGTGGGGTACCTCAAGGCTCCATCTTGGGGCCTCTTCTCTTTAACATCTACATGCTACCACTGGCTCAGATAATGAAAAACAACAAAATAAGTTACCATAGCTATGCGGATGACACACAAATTTACGTAACAATTTCACCAGGAGATTATGCTCCAATTCAAACACTGAGTAAGTGCATTGAACAAATCAATGACTGGATGTGTCAGAACTTTCTCCAATTAAACAAAGATAAAACTGAGGTAATGGTTTTTGGAGCCAAGGCAGAACGTATAAAAGTTAGCGCTGAGCTTCAGTCTGCAATGTTCAAAACAACAGATAAAGCCAGAAATCTAGGTGTAGTCATGGACTCTGACCTGAGTTTCAACAGTCACATTAAAACAGTTACTAAATCAGCCTACTATCACCTAAAGAACATATCTAGGATTAAAGGACTAATGTCACAGCAGGATTTGGAAAAACTTGTCCATGCTTTTATCTTCAGTAGACTCGACTACTGCAATGGTGTCTTTACAGGCCTCACTAAAAAATCTATTAGAAAGCTGCAGCTAATTCAGAACGCCGCTGCTCGAGTCCTCACTGACACTAAGAGAGTGGATCACATCACTCACGCACTCACGCATCCAGAACCCTCAGGTCTTCAGGGACTGGTCAGCTTTCTGTCCCCAGAGTCAGAACTAAACATGGTAAAGCAGCATTCAGTTATTATGCTCCGAATATCTGGAACAAACTCCCAGAAACCTGCAGGTCCGCTGCAACTCTTACTACTTTTAAATCCAGGCTGAAGACTTTTCTTTTTGCCGCTGCTTTTAATTGAACTATTCACATCTTAAACTGCACTGTAACTTTTAACTTTTATCCATGTATTTTTTCTTTTAATGTTTATTTTATTATCTTTCCTTTTTAATGACTGATTTTAAATGCCATTTTTAAAATGTCTTCCATTTTTGTAAAGCACTTTGAATTACCTTGTGTTGAAAGGTGCTATATAAATAAACTTGCCTTGCCTTGCCTTGCCTTACTATTCTTAAAACCTTTTCAGCTGGATGTTGTATTTTGGTTCCCAGAATGTTCTTCTGAAAGGTAGGATAACGTTCTCTAAAAACATTCTTAAAATGTTTTGTGATGACCTTCTTCAAATGTTTTTGATAACATTGTTCGAACATTATGCCCTACTATTCTTAAAACGTTTTCAGCTGCAAGTGTTTTTGTTGTTCCCAGAATGTTCTTCTGAAAGGTAGGATAACGTTCTCTAAAAACATTCTTAAAATGTTTGGTGATAACCTTAAGATATTTTTGATAACCTTCTTAAGACATTATGCCCTACTGTTCTTAAAACGTTTTCAGCGGGACATTTTATTTTTGGTTCCCAGAATGTTCTTCTGAAAGGTAGGATAACTTTCTCTAAAAACATTCTTAAAATGCTTGGTAATAACCTTTTTTAAATATTTTTGATAACATTGTTAGAACATTATGCCCTACTATTCTTAAAACGTTTTCAGCTGCAAGTTAGATTTTTTTATGTTGCTAGAATGTTATTATTTTAGAGTAGGATAACGTGCTTTATCGTTCCGATTTATCAGAAGTCTTTTCTTTTTTTGAAAAATGCGACCAGCAGCTAGTACAAGTCACTGTCGGTGTCACATGTACTGGAGGGGACCCATAATCAGACTCGGAATCAGCTGGTGAAAGTAACATTTGTTTATTAGAAAAGGGGAGCTGGGAGTGGAGGTTGATAGTAAACAGTGGGAAACAGTTGTTCCAGGGTGGGTAGAGAGGCCTGGCTGGTCTTGGGAGTGTGGAAGGCCTTGGATTCATCCTGGGAGATACATAAAAATGAGTGTGAGGCAAAAGCAGGCAAAGTTGTCAAAGAATATGCTGGTAAAAAGCTAGAGCGGCACGCAACAAACCGTTCACGGCAACAATCCGGCAGGGAATGAGTGCAGGCTGCAGGCTTCCATAGTGTGGCTGATGAGCAGGTTGCAGGTGTGGTTGATTGGAGATTGCTCCCAGCCGTGTAGAGCAGACCAGCAGGCAGGGGGGGGGGAGAGAGAGAGACACACACAGTAGAAACAGACACATAAAAACACTAACAGGGGTTTCAGGGACGGGCAGTGACAGTCGGTCCGTTCTTCTATATGTCTGTTGGTCTCAAATCTAAAGGGTGCAATAACGATTTGTATCCACTATGCATAAACAGCGGACACTGTTTATACGCAGCCCTCACAAACCACACACGGCCAGATAGCTTATCTAATAGTTAGAACCTAAATACGAGACACAACCCTTATAGTCAGAAAAACAGTGTGATTATTTTCTGATATTTTACACATATGATATTAGGAATACTGTGGGCCTACATACCTTAGTGTGATTATAAGTGCATGTGAGTGAATATTGGCATGCAAATTCGTTTTTATATGTCATATTCATTGTCTCAATGCGCTCATATATCTTAAGAAAGGGCATAATGTTCTAACAATGTTATCAAAAACATCTTAAGAAGGTTATCAAAAACATCTTAAGAAGGTTATCACCAAACATTTCAAGAATGTTTTTAAAGAACGTTATTCTACCTTTCAGAAGAACATTCTGGGAACCAAACTTCCCGCTGAAAACGTTTTAAGAATAGTAGGGCATAATGTTCTAACAATGTTATCTAAAACATCTTAAGAAGGTCATCAAAAACATCTTAGGAAGGTTATCAAAAACATCTTAAGAAGGTTATCACCAAACATTTCAAGAATGTTTTTCGAGAACGTTATCCTACCTTTCAGAACAACATTCTGGGATCCAAACTAAAACTTCCCGCTGAAAACGTTTTAAGAATAGTACGGCATAATGTTCTAACAATGTTATCAAAAACATCTTAAGAAGGTTATCAAAAACATCTTAAGAAGGTTATCACCAAACATTTCAAGAATGTTTTTAAAGAACGTTAGCCTACCTTTCAGAAGAACATTCTGGGAACCAAAATAAAACGTCCCGCTGAAAACATTCCTAGAACAATGAATGGTAACATTCTCAGAATGTTTTTAGAACCAAAAATGTCTAGCTGGGAACTCACACATGCCACCGCAAACATGCAATATCTGCTTACAGCTTATCATGAATTACGTGCTTGTTTGTTTTTTTCAAAAGGAAAATGTGGTGACATCAGATATTTTTAAAACATCCATTTCAAACAAATGCAACAAGTTTGTTTTTTAAAGCACTCTATAAATAAATCTGACGTTGACCATGGCCGTGTTAATATTTCGCATTACAGGAACGTTTTATAAAAAAAGAATAACCTCCGAAAACATTATCCGAATGTTGCTTTGAAAATGTTCTTCTTTTGTTATCATGTAACATTGAGGGAATGTTTTAGAGCCTCTGTACTGTGTTACCTCAACGACGTCCAAAAAACATCCTCAGAATGTTGCAGGCAAAACATTCCACCTTTGTTAACATATCACATTAAAGGAACCTTTTATAAAAAACTTTCTGTCATCTCAGGCCTCAATAACATCCTCAAAACATCCTCTGAATGTTGCAGTTAAAACGTTATCTCTTAGTTAACCTTAAACCTTATAGGATCATTATTTGAAATAATACAACATCAGATTAAAAGTTTCTTTAAAACATTATTAGAACCTGTAGGTAACGTTAGCCAAAGTTGTGAGAACATTCCCTGCTAGCTGGGAAAGCTCTCTGTGAACCGCGGTTGAAATAGCTTTTTAAGTTGAAAAAGTGTATTTTCTTATATTTGGTCTGGCATATCATTGCATACATTATGCCAGACTAAGTAAAGGTGTTTAACATAATTACACTCTCTGCTTTGTTGGAATCCAGTGAGTGATTTCTGTGCCAATTCACTTACTTCATAGCAGTCTTCTTCTGCCTTTTGCTAAAACTTTTCGTTTCTTGGCTGTGACTGTCAACTCTCATACAGTCTAACAACATGAGGCAGTCATTTGCATTTAGTCACCTGCCTCCTTTTAGAGGAGTTAAAAAGGCATACATGCTAACAAAACAGAGGATTGGACTACTTCTAGAATCATTGCTCCATAGCGGACTAAATGATAAATGGACTGCATTTACATGATATAGCATTTTTCGAGTTCCATCGTCCACTCCACCTCTGTATTAGTACATATTAGAAACCTACTAAATTAATGGAATAAAATGTACAAAACCATATAAAAAACATTATTCATGCCTAATCAGTATTGAATACTGCGGTCTTCTGAAATAATAACAAAAAGTACCTTTCCTTTTTATACTAGTCCTAGAGTTGTTTAAGTGAACCACCTTCTGTCCTAGTTTGATCTTTTCAATACCATTTAAAAAACATTAAAAGTCTATCATCGGATGTTTGGCCTCCAACAACTGTCTGGCCGCGAGGTCTTTTTCTATTTTATTTTGAAGCTCTGCTGTCATCCTTTTCTTTCAGTAAAAGCCCTTCTTCCTACACTTTCTCATGGACATATATGTGACATTTATTTGATCTGTTATTATAAGGTCACCCACAGCTGAATGAGTTAAGATGTTAGTGTTCTTTGTACGTTTACAGGTGGCACAGTTTCTTATAAATAATCATCACAGGAAGTTTGTCTGTATTTATTTGTCCTCAGGTCTGGTACATGGACAGCTACACCAACAACAAGATAGTAAAAGAGTATAAATCCATCGCTGATTTTGTGGCGGGAGTCGAGTCGAGAACCTACAACCTGCCTTTCAAATGGGCGGGAACCGACCACGTGGTGTACAACGGCTCGCTGTACTACAACAAGATGCAGAGCAACATCGTGGTGAGGTACAGCTTCGAGACGGGGCGCGTGGTCAGTCAGAGAGCTCTGGAGTCCGCGGGGTTTCATAATGTGTACCCTTACACCTGGGGGGGCTTCTCCGACATCGACCTGATGGCGGACGAGCTGGGCCTGTGGGCGGTGTACGCCACCAACCAGAACGCGGGGAACATCGTGATCAGCCAGCTGAACCCGGACACTCTGCAGATCCTCAACACGTGGGACACGGAGTACTCAAAGAGGAACGCTGGCGAGTCTTTTATGATCTGCGGGACGCTCTACATCACTAACTCCCATCTCACCGGTGCTAAGGTCTATTATGCCTACTCCACTAAAACCTCCACGTACGAGTACACAGACATTCCCTTTCACAACCAGTACTTCCACATGTCCATGTTGGACTACAACGCCAGGGACCGCGCCATCTACGGCTGGAACAACGGCCACCAGGTCCTGTTCAATGTCACGCTTTTCCACATCATTAAAACTGAGGACGACTCTTAAGCGGAGGACAATTATGTACTGTACATGTAAAAGATTATGAAAACAAGGAAAAAATTGATGGTGGCGCCTGATTGTTCTTATAAATGTTATTTATTTATTTATGTCATTCCCCTGATTAAATGTTTTACCGTTATCTTGCTATTTGCCTGTTTTTATATGGAGAGTTAATCAATTGAGATGTTCTCCGTGTGAAAACGTGACATTTTCTCTTCAATAATGAGTGGCCACATAAATTAAAATGAGTGCATTTATGAAAACATAATTCAAGTCAAACTTTTTCAATTCAATAATGGAAGTAATTGCAACTTTTAACACTAATGACATTTCTGTAATTTTCTTTTTCTCTACAAAATGAAAGCTTTGTCCAGAACAAAGTCTACATTTTCATAATGGGTTTTCTCATTCAGTATTGCTTTTATTCATGCCCACTAATGTATTCATACTTTTACCGTGTTCACTAATTGTTCGTTTTGTTTCCATTCTTTCCGTGCCATTTATTCATCATCATCTTCTGCTAATTTATTCCTGTCTTTCACTGCCTCCATTTGGCTTTCTATTTAATGTGGGACTTTTCCTTTCAAAAAAGTTGTTGCACTTGACCTGACCTTGTACAAGACAATGAGAAATGTAGTGAATAATGCACCTGTATAGATTCTGTACATGGCTTTTGTGTGTCTATGAAGATTCTCAGTCATCCGGTTCATATGTATGTCTTGAAGTACTAAGTCAAAGTACTTCAGCAAACAGCAAAACTGGTTGCCTTTTATTTAGTACTATGAGATATTGGCTTTTTTGTAACTTTCAGCAAGTTTGTATGCCTTATTCAGTGCGGTTTGTTCTGTGAGCCTGAGGATAACAGCTCTTGTGCATGAATGTTGGCTGTAGAAGCATTTTTACTGTAACTGTACATCTGTGTTTTTTGTATCTGCACAACATCCCATTCTCCTCCTCTCAAACTATATTAAATGGTCTATTTATACAAACAGCAGTAGATAACTTTAATAAGCATTCATTGTGTAAATATATACATAACCAAAATAAAAAGTATTGTTTTCATTAAGCCACTGCTCTGCGTATCGTGTCGGGAAAAAGCATGGTATTTCTTTCAGGAGGCTTTTTGCAGCTAAAAGGAAATATGGAGTAGCACTGCTCTATAATTTAATGTGACAACACTTGGAATTATAGACCAGGGAGCAACAATGCTATCCTGCCAAATTCATTGTCCTCTAAGAAGGACACAGTGACTGAGGATTTTTGATCATTTCCGACACTACTTTATTCATTTTACATCGCTGTAAATCTTTGTCAGAGCTTTTATCACATTTTCTGTTTTCCTGGTTACTGTACATTCTGTCAATGAACAAAGAAGGACTCAGATGTTTTACTTGGGTAAGATTAACTATAACACAAGTTAAAAATGCTTTATATAACAAATGAGTATTCAAAATGTTTAGAAAAATGTAAAATATATTTTTCATCCAAATATCATGAGTACCACTACCAATAGTAACTAAAAACAATCATTATGCAGGATGACAAAATCTACATCTAAATCTATATATATATATTTATATGTGCTGCCACAAAGTAAATTAGTAATTTAAAGTCTCAAACCCTGCTGTTAATAATCTGATTCACCTTATTACAAACACTATTTTGGACATGAAAACATAATACTAATTTCGGATTTGCTCAAGTAAAAATACAAAAAAAGATTGTGCTGTGAAGACAAGTGACATTATCTTCGGCCTTATCTTTTTCTAATCATTCTAAAATAAACATGATAATTGTTATAAGATGGAAAGATAAGTGAACAATATTTTCTGTGGTGATAATGAGATTCTGAAATGTTGACGAGACACTGAAATCCCAGAATAGATTTTAATTATGAAGGAAATGGAACTCTTAAACAGCCAGATTTCCCAAAAGCATTCTTGTAATGTCAATAATGGAAAGTATGGAAGCATTTAAATGAATAAAAGTTATGCAACAGTGAACATAAAATACATTTTTGCCTCCAAGGTCATTATTTTGTGAAAGACGGCTTGAGGCAAGTGATGTGGATAATAAGACACTGATGGATCTGAACAACATCCAAAAAAGTGAAGTCTCCTGTGTTGATCCGGATTTTTCTGCTCGGTTCAGAAGAGACTTCGCTTGTTAAGATTCACACCTTTTGTAGCCTGTGTGCTCATTAGGGAGCTGTACTGTGGCGAGGAGGTGTGACTGCACAGTGGGTCATGACCTTAAGGACTTATTTAGCATCCAAATAGTTGCAGCAGATCCGTCAGCATTGTATCCAAACACTACACACACATGTATGGACACATGGGTATCCACTGTTGAAATTCTCCTCCAGGTCACATCAATGCAAGTCAGCCAGACAGGAAACAGCTCAAAGGCCAGAGAAGTAGCCACGGTAACAGCAGGCCTTGGGTCACAGTATGGATCCGGAGATAATGATCCCTGCAGTGCGCCGATGCCAAAGACCTCCCAAAGTATTTTATATATAACTCATATGTTGCATACAGCATCGGGAGGCAATGAATCTGGATAGAATGACTATAACTCAAGTCTAGTACAGCATGACAGATACGCAGGAAGATATCAGGGTTCTGACAGGAAATTAATCTAATGCTTTACAAAAGTTACAGCACTACCATCTATATGAAGAGCTTCCTCTGGCTGCAGATCAATGGACCACTGCCTGCCTACCCACTGACTTTAAAACTTTATTATCATTGTATAAAAGAATGAACCATTTCTATGTGGATCCACAAACACACATTTAGCGGATCAGTGTGTTTCAGGCAGCTAATGAACAGGGATTTTCTTTCACAGAATAATGTAGCCCAAACCCAATATCTTCCAGATGACAAGCGACCTAAAACTGGACAACCAATCCATATGAAATATGTATGGTAGACTACATCAAACACCATGTAATTGGGTACTCAGTTTAGAGATGTATATTCCTGTCTACATGGAATTAACTGACACAACAATTAAATTGCTTTTCTTTCCATTGATGCACCACCAACTCTGCTCAGAAAATTAACTGTAGCTACATCATGCACAAACCATTTGTTGTCATTAGTTTCAGAACTCCATTTACCATGGTTCTGTATTTTAAACATAATATGAATATATTTTGTATCAAACTACTACCTTTACAAGCTTATCATATTCCTGTTTATTAGCATTTTTTGCTAGGTAACAGTTTGGGTTCAAATGTGTTTCCCTGTCAGCCATTGATATTAATATACATCGCAACAGGAAATAAACCCAGACTAATTTAGAAAGCTGAATGCAAATCAGTCTATAAAAATTAAACAGGAACCGTGCTTTAACACACAGCGCCACCCATCATCCAAATGAGAAATATAAGTGTATGAGAGTGGGACAGAAACTCTCTCTGGAGGGAACACAGTGATTGTAGCCTTTAAAGACCATTTACATGCACAAATACCTGTATAAACACACTACAGGAAGGGGAAACCCTAAAAAGATAATCGGGCGGGCCTGTTAATCACTACAGGAAGTGAAAATATATTATTTTCACTGAAATACAAAGTATATTTCTGACTATTTTGATGATACATTATGCATTTTGATCATGAAAGCTGTGAACTAAAATGATCCCGATATCTGTGTGTCGAATTCGTATTCAAAACTTTCTTGCCGTACCTAAGCAAGCATCAAAGACATTACACTTTTTACACATGGAAAAAGAAAAAAAGCAGGTAAACAGAATGCTCCACTTTAAAATGGATGATATTATGTAACCAAAAATATAGGGAAATATTTACAAAGATTACACTCTTGAGAAACTGTATCTTTTAAAATAGGTTTTTAATTTCCCGTGCCAATTCACGACCTAACTGAGAGTAGAAGTTGCTTACCAACGTTAAACCACTTTGGATGGTGTCAGGTGTTCTCTTGTGCAACCGAGGCACGTTTAAGGCCAGCGGAAAAGAGAGCTCAGACTGATGTATCTAAAACAAGTCAACTGTGGTGATTGAAGTCATTAAAGTTAACAGCTATCGGTGGCAGTGAACACTTTAAATTTACATTTAAAGCAGCATTGTAACAAGACAAGTTTTAGTCTTCATCAAAGGCCTCCCTTTATAGGTCACACTTTATAATTGGGTTTGTTTCCAGATGAGTACAAATGTAAATTACACTTTGATTGATCTGCAACTTTAACAAATTACATCGTTGTTTTGCAGTTTGAGAACCAAAACTATTCACCAATCCATGCCTCGCTGCAATGTTGGTTTGGTATAGTATAATTCTGGATATTTCCAAAAAAAACAGATATTTCTAAACCTCTGTGACCCCCGACTTACACAAAAAAAAGTAGTCTATTAAAGGTGGGGTAGGTAAGTTTGAGAAACCGTCTCGAGATACACTTTTTGTTATATTCCATGGAATGCTCTTAACATCCCGATAGCAATGAATATCTTAAGTGCTTTGACAAAAAATCCATACAAAAATTTCATCTGTGGAAGCCCACAACCAATCATTTTAGCCGGCCCGGCTAAAATAACTGGATGGCCTACCTGCCTGTCAGCCTTCCATCTGTGCACAAACTTATCTCGTGCCCTCATTGGTCATGTGCGCGTTCGTGTGTGTTGGAGGAGGGGCTCTGTAAGGAAGTGGCAGATTTTTTCCGGCTGTGCATTTTCAAATTCTAGCGATCTTGAGCTGGTTTCTCCAAAATGACCTACCCCACCTTTAAGATATACTTAGATGGTGTGCTAGAGATGGGGCTGCCAAGGTGAAGCTAGCAACTTTAAAATATACCATATTTTTCCCTAAAAGAAAGGTCTATCAAATTCTAATTCTGTCATACTGATATATATTATTTTAGCACTAAAACATTATAAAAATGCATTTCTAAAGCCAACACACTCCCTAAAGTGTCTGAATAAACACCAAGTGATGTTCTGGTCATTAATTCTAACTACATTTAGCATCTTTCCAATTAATAGTTTTGTATCATGTTTCAGTAGTTTTACAAGTTGGTTGCTTGCCTTTAGAAGATATCGTGCATTTCTAGTGTCTTCTCCTATCAAGCTTGTCATCAACATTAAGCGCTTTAAAATGGCAACGTTTTGTCTGCTTCTGCTTTTAGCACCGCAGGCCAATTCATTTTGCACAACAACGATTAGATTCAAAGTGACATTACCAAATATGCATCTTTAATGGATTTTAACAGTTGGAGTATCCCCACAGAGAACATTGTATATAACTTTTAATGTGCTTTCCACAGTGGGAATCAAATTACTAGACTGCCTTCTTTGTTTGAGATGTACAATACAGGAATAGAGACTTCTTGAATATATAGCAAACAAGCATTAAAACCGGAGACAACAGCAACAAAAAAGCTGTGAACACTTTCCCTCATTTTTTCACATTATTTATCTATATTTCCTGCAACACGATGTAATCTTGAGCAGCATAAATGTCACATCCCCTCAAGCTGTTACAGATGTTAGAAGCTACTATCAAATCTGTCTGTCCACCAAACTGAATTACGGAACCGAGAGGCAGGAGCTATCGTCTGAGATGATCTTAGATATGAAATATGCTTCAATACTTCTTCTGTAATGCATTAGGTTCTGTCTTAGACTTCAGTGGAGATTTGATCAATAGATAGAGAAAAAAATATATAATATATATATATATATATATATATATAATTGTAAAGGTCACCTATTATGCAAAATCCACTTTTTCATGTCTTTTACATGTAGGTAGATAGATAGATAGATAGATAGATAGATAGATAGATAGATAGATAGATAGATAGATAGATAGATAGATAGATAGATAGATAGATAGATAGATAGATAGATAGATAGATAGATAGATAGATAGATAGATAGATAGTACTTTATTGATCCCAAATGTATACATAAACATGTGTCCCCTCTGTGTAAAGAGATTCTGAAAGTTTCAGGAAAAAAGATTCTCTCACTTTTTGTCCTGATCCATTTATATAAAAACCTGTCTGAAAATGAGCTGATCAGATTTTGGGCACTTTATGATGTCATA